GTTTTTTCAAGACAGGGTTTCTCTGTGTAGCTTTGGAGCCTGTCCTAGGACTCACTCTGTAGACCAGGCTGGCCTCCAACTCACGAAGATCTGCCTGCCTCTGCCTCCCGAGTGCTGGGATTAAAGGCGTGCACCACCACCACCCAGCTCATTTTAGCTCTCTTAACAGCCTTTCCTGGCCCATCTCTGTGTTGGAACTAACATCTTGTAACCAATAGATAAAAACCTGCTCCCACCAATCAATCCAAAAGCTAAGAATGTCATCGGATAGCATCTTGGGCCTCTAGAAAAGCTTCCCCCGTCTTGATGTATCTACCTCTTTGTGTACCCCCCCCCTCCCGAATCTGTTTTAACTTGCCTTGATTTATGACTTTTTTGTTGTGTAAAACTATATAAACACTTCATGAATCTGCTCCCAAACTGGACCGTGGAGTTTGGGGTAAGTTAAATCTGTGTTCCTGGACCACGGTCACTCAGAATGACTCCAGAATAAAGGTCCCTTATTCCTTTAAGATGAGAGCTGTGACTTTGACGTCACCATGAGTTCACTACCGCCTCTTGAGCTTGCACTTGAGCAACTGTATTAGTAAGCGGGAAAAGCTGAAAATATCTTGTTGAGTCACCGTGCTGCAGTACAGGCTGGCCTTGAACTGATCCTCCTGCCTCAGTATCCTGGGTGTTGTGACACAGGCATGGATAACCACACACCTAGTTTGGAAGAATATACATGCTCTGTTTTGCATGGGTTCAGTTTCACATCCAGAGATGTGAAGTGGGTAAGTAACCCTAAGCTCCACAAAATCACGAACAGATTCTGAAAACTGTGGCTCTGAGTGACACCATAGAAAGATGAACAACTGGGGACATATACATACCCAAGTCAGCCTCCTCTAGTTAAATGGCGTGATGATGTAGACAATAGGTACCTTCTATTTTGGAGATCTCTCAGAGACATAGGAAGACCACCGTGATGATATTGTCTCAGACAAATACATGGTTGGAAGTCAGTAACCCCTTTTACAAATGACTCAGTCAGTGCTCTGGCTAACATCATTTTGATCACATTCTGATGTGAACAAGTACTTCATTTCCTTTGCCTAGACAAGGCCAGAGGCCTCCTGTTATAAGGAAATCCTGTTACAACTTAAAGAAGCTAGCCAGAAGCTATATACAAGAAAATAACTCTCTCTCAATAGAGATGTGCTAAAATAACCAAGAGTCCCTTATGCCACACAGTCGATCACAGACTCTCAACTAAGCCTGACCACTTTCTGAGTTCTAACTCAACAGCATAACTTCTTTGATTTCCTCTTTCCCATCTCTCTTTTCTAGACCCGGGCCAAGTCCTAACCTCGACTACCATGACAGTCGAACCCAGCTCCACTCAGGGGCTCTCAGAGTCCCACTCCTGAACTTTCCCTCTGCCTCTTCCACCACTGGACAGCTGCTAAGATCTTGAGCCTGGCCGGGCGGTAGTAGCACACACCTTTAATCCCAGCACTTGGGAGGCAGAGGCAGGCAGATCTCCGTGAGTTTGAGGCCAGCCTGGTCTACAGAGAATTCCTGGACAGCCAGAGCTAAACAGAGAAACCCTGCGTTTATTTGTTTGTTTGTTTGTTTGTTTTTTGGTGTGTGTGTGTGGGTGCTGGGTAAGAAAAGAAAAAAAGATCTGGGCGACTGTGGCACCTTTAATCCCAGCAGGGAGGCAGAGCGAAGCAGATCTCTTCGAGTTTGAGGCCAGCCTGGTCTACAGAGAGATATCCTCCCACTTAAATACATGGTTGATTTTATATATATAAATATGTGTATGTTTATGTGTGTGTGTGTGTGTATATATATATATCATGTTGCATACCATATGTGTATAATTATTTGATCAAATACTTTAAAAGTAATTAAAAAATGATTTCTCTGATTAAATTGCATCTCTACCTTACACTAAAAGTAAACCCCCAAATATCTTATGGGTTTAAATATCTACAGGAAAATTTACAAGAAAACAATTATATATATATATATATATATATATATATATATATATATATATTATATTTGAACTTGGGGGAGGAAAATATTTTTATAAAGAAAAAGAATTTGGTCATATTAAAATTAAGAACCTCCATCAAACACATCTGAAAGAGCTGGAGGGGGGCGCGTAGCTCAGTGGTAGGGCACTTCAACAGCATGCACAGGTCCTGGGTTCGATCCCCGGCACTGAAAAAGAAATCTGAAAAATAAAAAGACAAGTTATAAACTGAGGCTTGGTGTTCAATTGTATAACTGATGATAGGTTGATAATTTAAAATTTTTATGCATAATAAGAAAATAAATACTTCAAAGAAAACCAGCAAGAGAAATAAATAGCATATCCCAGAGATGGGAGCAGTGTAGTCTATAACTTCTTAAAAAGCCATGCATCGTTTCTGATTGTGGCTTAAAGTACAAAGCTAGCCTTGAACTTCACTAGGAGAGCATTCCTTATTTCATCTTTAAGAGTCCAGGAAATAGTTGGATGATTTGTTTATATTTTGAGATCTATTTCATTTGTATTTATGTGTAAGTGTGTGTGTGTGTGTGTGTGTGTGCACATGAGGGCAGCTACCTCTAGAGACCAGGCAAGGATGTCAGAGTCCCTGGAGCTGGACTCACAAGTCAGTGTGCTCCCACCACAACTATGTGGGTATGGGAAACTAAACTCCAGTCCTGTGAAAAAACAGCGAGTGTTCTTAACCACGGAGCCATCTCTGCAGCTCTGATTTCTTTATTTTTTTGACTTTTTTTCAAGACAGGATTTCTCTGTGTAGCGCTGGCTGTCCTGGAACTCACTTCCTTGACCCAGCTGGCCTCGAACTCAGAGATCTGCCTGCCTCTGCCTCTTGAGTGTTGGGATTAAAAGTGAGTGCCACCATGCCTGGCCTGATTTGTTTCTTTAAAGTTTAGTAAATCATCCTGTGATGTCATCTGGTCTGGTGCTTTCCTTGTGGGAAGATATTAAGTAAAGTGTAAATCTCTTTAATTGGTATAAAAATATTCACAGATTTGACTTGGATATTTTTTTTCTTGAGTCATTTTTCTCGGATTTTACCTCCCAATTTATCTGAGTTCTCAAAATTTTTTTTAGAGTTATAGGTTTAGGTGGGAGAATTCTGTCCATTGTTACATTTTGCATACATATATAAGTGTACATATGTGTGTGTGCATTTATAGTTGTAAGACATTTAATTATGAAGTTAAATTTCTTTGGTAAATATAGTATTAGTTATTTGGTTGACTAGTTATGCGATGATTTCAGTAGTGGTCTTAATTACTTCATTATCCTTTTGTTTGTATGTTTGTTTTTCAAAAAGCATGATTCAATATTCAGTGTGAGT